AAAAAAAAGTTTAGGGTTTAGGGGTTTAGGGTTTAGGGGTTTAGGGTTTTAGGCTTTAGCAATCAGAACAAAGCACAGAGACGCTAAGGTAAACGCCTGATTCATAGACCTTTTTGTTGTAACTATGTGCTTTAGTCTGCCGCTCCAAACTACCTTAACCTACCAAAACCTACTTTTTTGTAGGGTCCCTATAAATTCCATATCAAGGTTTATAATAAGAACCTTCAAAAAACTAGGTTCTGGTAGGTTAAGGTATGCTTGTTGTTGAGGCTCTTATCCAAAACCCCAAGCCCTTATGCCACCCTGTCTGACAACAGGCCGTACAGTGTTCATGTAGAGCCCTAGCTGATACAAGCCCTGTAAACCTTCATGGAAGACGGTACAGCACCAAATCCGCATAAACACACCCCTACTGTATTCCATCAGAGCTAAAAAGCAACAAAACCTGGTAACACCTTATGGTTAAATCGCAAAATAACCCACAATAAGCCTACACAAACTCATTCCCTTTCCGTATACAATCTGGTCTAACTGTCAAAGCTGCCTTCTCGGCCTAGGTTTCGAGTTCCCCACCCTGCCGCGGGCACAGGTCATGAGACAGGCCCGAAAGAGTTGTTTCAGGTTTGGGGTGTACTCAAAGGATCATGGGACTTAGTAAGTAGGGTTATATTTGAGGTAACTATACTTATCACCTCAATTAGGGGACTTATAACCTTACTTACTAAGTCCCATGATCCTCCAAGTGGGGTTTAGGCAGCCGCCCTAGCGCCCAAGGGTTGCAAGAGTAAGGGTTCAGGGTTTAGGGCTGCTACGGCTGATGATCTAAATCCTGCATTACCCATGTAAGAAGGAATATCTAGCAGAGTATTCCCATAGTTTAGGGACCCTACGGCAATGCAGGAGTTATATCATCAACAGTATCGTAAGAAGGCCTATAAAGGTTCAAAGCAAGGACTCGCTCCTAATGTTTTTGGCAGCCCTTGGAGGAGGCCGCTTGCAGTCCTTATCGAAGCCTCTTAACAGACTCCCAGAGGACCTGTAGGAGTGTTTTATGGGTTTCCTGTCGGCTTTTTTGAGGGGTAAGTTGAGCTTGTACATGATGAAGACGCAGTATGTTCGTAGTGATGTTGACGGCTTGTCGCCGCGAGCTGGCTTTGCCACTCTTGGAACGTCGAGGAGGGGCTGTTTGGACAAAAAGTGACGGCTAGTTTGAATTGACCCCGCGTCAAAGTGATCGTATGTAGAAAGTGCCAACCGCAGCAAGAGATCCATGACGTGTGGGAGGTGTGTGAGTTGCAGTCTGCCACGAGGCATGACGGCCTGGGGATGACCAAAGTCCCTGCCGTCCAAACCCGAGACTGTTGACATGAATCCCGATGCCTTTGCTCCCCCGATTCGCCTGGAAAAATGCACTGCTTGCGATGCAGGCATTTTAAACATGTCGGGAGGCGGCCATCGTGGTATCCTATTCTGATTACGGCCCCTACATTAACCTCACATAGCCTTGCATACAGATTGCCAGTTCGCCAGGATGATGTTCCTGGCTTCAAGACCTTCCGCGGCACTCAGAGAAGTCCGTCTAGGGTGCTCTCAGGGTTGGACATGATCTGTGTAGAGCTTAAATCTCGCTCGTTGGCTTCTGTTCTGGGCTTCAGCGTTTGTATGGGGCTTAGAATGTAACATAGGGGCCTAAATAATCACCAGTTCTGCTTCGAGGCTCGTTATTACACGAAAAATATATACTATACCCCGAAACGCTATTCCTAAACCCAAAACCCTAAATCCTCAACCCTAAACCCTTAAACCCTAAACCCTAAACATTAAGGCCCCTAGATTGCATCTCTTAGGGTTCACTAGACTTCGGAACATTTTTGAACCTGCAACTGGAGCTTCCGCCTGGGGTGTGTATTTGTGGCTTTAGGGTTTAGGGCTTACGGCTTATAGGGTTTAGGGTTTAGGGTTTAGGGTTTAGGGGCTTAGGGTTTAAGGGTTTAGGGTTTAGGGCGTCCTAATCCGGATTCTAATAGGATTGTACTTTAACAGACCAAAACCTAGTTTTGTGTAGGTTCTTATTATAAACCCGAATATGGAATTTATAGGGACCCTACAAAAAGGTAGGTTTTGGTAGGTTGAGGCAGGCTTCGTACTTAGAGATCGTCAAGCTACGTTTATCTTGGCAAGTGCTCGGGTGTCGGCCTCAAGCTTCGGGTTTTGGCTGGGTTCTGTGGTTTGGGATTTAAACCCTACGTTTAGTCTCCATTGTAGTTCCTTTTTTTGGTTTGACCAATTATATATTAAGGATTCTATAATGTATCCCCAAAAGGAACTACAATGGAGACTATAGGCAAACCCAAAACCTTAACTCAGATGGGTCCCCCCTAAACCCTAAACCCTAAACCCATATCTCCCCTAAACCCTAAGCCCCAAACCCAAACTCAATTAGGTCTCCCCTAAACCCTAACCCCTAAACCCAAACTCAGATGGGCCTCCCCTAAACCCTAAACCCTAAACCCTAAACCCAAACTCAATTAGGTCTCTGTCTCCTGGGCCACCAAACTCTTGGTCCGCAACCCATCCTCCAAAAGTTCCTCTCCTCCGTTGAGCTTCCGGGCTGGGCCTCAGCTTCTGATTTTCAGTTTAGGGTTTCGGGTTTAGGATTTAGGGTTTCGGGTTTAGGGTTTAGGATTTAGGGTTTAGGTTTAGGGTTTAGGGTTTAGGCCGAATGTAGGGTTCGTAAAGCCCTGAAGTACGTCAAAGAACCCTTTGTCTCGGTTCTCTGTCGTTTTAAAGGGCGCAAATTACCACCACCTGCAAAACCTTCAAGTAGAGTTGATGTTCAGATGCTGCAGTCAGCTTGGATAGTTCAGGAAATGCTCCATCATTGATTTCGCTGATGTGGGCAAGTCGCCGCTCGAGCATCTTGCCCGGGACTGTCCCTAAACCCTAAACCCTAAACCCTAAACCCCTAAACCCCTAAACCCCTAAACCCCTAAACCCCTAAACCCCTAAACCCCTAAACCCTAAACTTGTTTGAAGCCAAGGATTCGAGGATAAGGGTTGGGGTTTAGGGGTTGGTGGTTCAGGGGTTAAGGTAGAAGCCTTAATAATTTTCAATAGGGGTTTTGGCGTTTCGGGGTATATTGAACCATAATTACAATAAGGAACCCCCCAAAATAGTATTGGTAATTATTTCGGCACCTACATTATGGTATCAGGGTTTTGTGACTTTAGGGTTGAGCTATCCTTTAGAGTGGAGTTGCAGCATCTGCAGTGGCCCAAAGGTTCAGGTGCCCCAGCCCGACTGCCCGAGGAATCACATTCTCAAGCCTCTAACGTGCGACAGGAGAGCCCTAAACCCACAAACATCGTATTCCTGGCTTTTGGCTTTTGCCTCCGCCGTGAGGTATAACATGAGCTTTGTGAAAGATCAAGGCCGGCATTTTCCTTCTCAACCCGGATGCTTGATAACATAGAGGCTTAAAGAATTACCAACGTTATCAACACGAGGCGTTATGGTTTATTCGACTTTTGATTAGTATAGTGTATCACCCAAAACCTCATGCGACATTGCAGGGGCTTGGACAGTTCGTCACACTCCTTCCTTCGGGTTCTTGCTCAGAAGTAAGCTACCCTCATATAAGCTACCCTCAAAAGGAAGCCAGTTATTCGCTATAGATCTCTACTGTGGTAACTTAAGTTAAGTTCCTTAACCCCTAAACCCTTGTAGAACCCTTTTATAACCCCTAAACCCTTGTAGAACCCCTATAGAACCTGTCAAACCCTAAACCCTAAACCTTCAATTTTCATCCTAAAGTATGGTAGCTTCAGTAACGCTCCTCAACAAGAACCCTAAACCCTAAACCCTAAAATTAGGAACCCAAAAAGAACATAAGCCTAAGCATTGTATAGGGATATCCCTACCTTATTGGGCTTCAGTATAAGGGGGTTTATATGGGATATCCCTATCCTAATTTTCCCTAAACCCTAAACCC